AACCGAGCGATTCTGTGATTCTGTGAAGATCCAAAAAGATCTCTAGAACAGCGCGGGTGGTTCATGTTAGGTTAACATGACTCTACTAATTCAACATGAGTCCATTAATTAAAAATCAAACACAAGAAAAGCAATATATTCTCAACATAAATTATAACTTACTACCAAAATATGGTATAACACTCCCTTGGTATCTCACACAGGATTGTTAGCAAGACGGAAATTGCAACGTTCTCTGTGCCTGGATCAACTGGCTTGCTCCAAAGCAGCATTCCCAAGACACTTTAGACAATTTAATTTGTTACTGTTAGGAATTGTAACTAAGCTATTAAATTGTCCAATATATCACAATCAAACCAGGCCATTTCTACAAGATGCACTACTGAGCCTTTCAAATCAGCACATCTCTGAATACAAATTATGAATAAGCAGCCCATTGTTCCTGCACAAGACTACTCAAATGCATAATCAATTACCTTTTGATTTAAGGACAATCAAAAGCAATCTTCAGTTTGAAAATAGTTTGAAAGTATCATCTTTTGTACGAAGTGACTGTAATTGTTTTAATTAGAAGCTATAGTTGTGCTATTTAGAACAGTGTATGGTTTATAAAATTATTTGTAAAGGAAAAAAATAAATCTGAACAATGGCTTTGTTTAAAAAAGAAATCTACAGCTCAGTGACTGTACCTGATGAACATACACACAGACAAAATTGAATCTCCAGAATTTGGAGAATTTGACAATTGGAAAAACTACCTGGAGAAAGAGGTCTGTCTTTTTGCAAAACAAGAAATGACAGTTTATTCTTCCTACTCTTCCTTGCTGAAAAAGGGTAAACTGCGTGAGGTGTAACAGACAAAAGACTTTTCCTCGGCACCAGTATGGGAAAGAATTCTCTTTATACTATCTTTGTGAGAGGTGCAAACTGCTTATTCAGACACAAACTATACAATCATATATGTAAGCAGTGGGAAGCTTACAGTCTGTACAGAAATGAAGGAACTACAGAGAAGTTATATTGGCTTCCCAGTTTTCCATTATGTTAGCTGCTTTCAGACAGGAGGATTTTTAGCTTCTCACTGAGTAGAAAATATACAGAAAGCTCATGTTGACATGACAAAATGAACACGGAGTATTTACAGAACAGAACCAGAGAATGGTTTGGGTTGGAAGGGACCTTAAAGATCTTCTGGTCCAACCCTCCTGCACTGGGCAGGGACATCTTCCACCAGACCAGGTTGCTGACATTCCTATCCAACCTGACCTTGAACACCTCCATTGGTGGGCCATCCACAATTTCTTAGGTCAATCTCCTCCAGTGTCTCACCAGTAAGTAAAAACTTACTTTGTTATAACCAACCTAAATCTACCCTCGTTCAGTTTAAAACTGCTGCCCCTTGTCCTGTCACTAGAGGCTCTGGTAAAAAGCCACACTTAAAGATCGAACGACCACAATGACATCTCCCCAGAGTCTTCTCCAGGCTGAACAACAACAGTAATTGCTGTGTATGCATGTGTTTACTTTCACGTAACTTAACAGAAGTTGATACTTGAAAATGACTTCTCTAAAAACAGTAAATCAACATAAGAATACTTTCAGGAATTGAACTCTTTAGGGACAGCTTATGGTTTCAGTTGTTCCACAGTCCACTTTTTCTTTCCTGACAAGAATCAGTCATTTTGGATACTTTCTGTTGTAAAGCAGAAGAATTATTGAGTATTTTAAATGAAACCACCACATGGGTACAGTGTGAAATACATTTATGAATTCTATCACAAATATATGGCACATATTTCCATCACACAAAGAAACCTCAGACCTTACTATATTGCAAAAGATGAAGAATAAAACACAGTCCAGGTTATAGTCTCTTTCCTACCTCCAACATGGGGTGAGAAATCCTATTGTACAGGAAGTGATGAAATCATTAACTGATAAAGTCTCAAATGCACATATCCAACAATAGCAAGAAAACAAGCCAAACCATATCTCAGGTGTTATTGTGCAACAAGATCTACAATTTATTTCAGCAAAAGGATATCTTGCAGGACTGTCCTTCAGGGCATTGAGGAACCCTGTTTGTTGAGAACCTGTAGAAATAAAACCCAAAATTACCAGCTGAGTAAAAAAACTGGACTACAGGCTGTTTTCACCATAGTTAACACAATATTTGAAGATCAACCAAATAATTATAGGATAGATTTACTAATAGAAATTCTGAGAATATGTTGCTCAGCAGCAACAACATCAGAAAAAAACCTTGGTTAAAATTATCAGGTCCAACATCTCCAGGATATTTTCTCAGTCATACCAGATTGATGCATGCATACTTTCCCATAAACAAGATTTCTGATTATCCCTGTTATATTCAGACCTAATATGGAAACAAAAACTTCTAAGCTACTTTTTTATTTCTAAATACTATTTTTCAAAGAAACTTTTTGACTTGTGAAATTTATTCTATAAACCAAGATTCTCAGCTTTCCCTCCTTTGTCTGGAAGGAGCCAAAGTTCTGTAGACTCCAATCCTGCTTCTACTGCACCCACACAGAAGGTTTTTCTAATAGGCACTTGCTGCCTCTGGGCAAATAAGAGAATATCCACTAGCTGAAAAGAGCTCAAGAGCAGCAAGATCCAATGAACAAGAGATGCAGAAGCATCCATTTGGGTTTCACAACCATGTGATACTGATCAAAGAGCGGAATTTGACAATTTGCTGATTGCAACAGGTGAATTAGTTTGTAGAAACTGACTCAATGCCACATTGCTATAGGCACATAGTTTGCATTTTACTGTATAACTTAAATGATTTATAGGCATCAGGTTGAAAGTCTTTCCCACAGCAAAAAATTTCCCCTTAGCTACACTCATTTTGAAGATTTGTATGAAGAGAGAAGAATCTTGTCTTTAAAACAAACGAGAAAAATATGCATGTGTGTATACACATATATATTCTCTAGACTTGTCTGGTCAATCTTACTGTTTGGCATTAAAAAGAGAAAGTTACTTACCTTGTATTTCTGAACCTTTTCAGACTCTCATAACTGGTTTTTAGCCTCAAAACTTAACAGAACTTCCCCTACCTTCTTACTATTTTTAGGATCCTTAATGGCAATGGCAGCAGGTAGGTGTGATCTTTATTCCCTACTGCTGGTCACACCCTTCCAAGCAGTTTGCAATATATCAGAAGAGGAAGGAAGGCTCCTCACTGCAATAAACAGCTGAAATACTGATGCCTCAAACACAGTTGAGTAACTGCAAAGACAGACACTACTACTGAAAATATGTTGAGCTTGGGGAGATGAAAGAATTATAAAAATGTCAGCTTGCAAGCTGTATAGATACAAATTTCAAAAATTTCTCTAAATTAAGAGACTTTTTTTTAAAAAAAAACAGGCTTCCTACGTAATCAACAAGGTCAGAGAAGGAAATTCCCTATTAGGATGAACCAAAAAGACTTCTTTTTTTCACATTAATGCCTACAAGTTGCTATAAATATCCCTCAGTCCCTTCCTAAAAGAATATTTTCAGAAGGCATCTAGTCTAACACAGGATATCTAGAATAATATATCACTGAATGTAATTCTTCTAGGATTGTCTTTGGAAAAGCTAAGAACAGGATTTGACTAAGTCAGCAGGACTTCCTCTAGAATCAAGAATTTTGCCAGACTTATGGAAATACATGTAGATGACTTTGAAACACTGCAGGAAGATCACAGTCCCAGGTCTGAATTGCTAACACAAAGCAGTCTATGCCAAGTGCAAAGGTTCAGACTAAGTGAGAAACCTGCTTACTGGTTAACATCAGCTGAAGAACTACACAGCTGCAAAAAAAGAACAAAAATGGTTCAGTGGTAACCATTAGAAAGGTAGGTTATGAGGACTTTTAGATGCACAGTAGGCACAGAGATTGGAGTGACTGACGTGATAAAAAAAACCTTGTTTGTGAAGAACTCTTTTTTGACACAGTTAAGATTGCAGTAGGTAAATTTGAAAGCAGGGCTTGAAGCTCAAATGTAGCAAATAAACATTGAGGAACTAATCACAACTCATACCTGCTCCCATTGCCTTTGAGGACCAGCCAATCTTTAGAACTAAGGAGGCCTTTTCTGTCTCATCCAAGGTAGATAAAACTCCATATCAAAAATATTTTACAACTGATATACTCAGATAATTCAGCATTTAACATTTACCATAGCTTGTCTGTAACACTAACATAATCCTAAAGTGCTTCTCAACCACACAGAGGCACAATGAATTTCTCTGATCTTTGTCTAATTCATACTTAGAATTAGGTATGGACACTGTAAAGTTAAAATCCACTGGATAAATCTACTTAACATACAGAACATGAAATATTAGTGTAATATTGGTAATTCATATGCTGAAAGCTAAAGAATAAAAAACCACTGTAGCCTTCATGAAATAAAAGTAGGCTAGCTTCAAAAGTAGCTTTATATTGTCAGACTAGTAATGTTTTCAACTACCGAATTCTAGCAAAGAAAGATGACGGAAAAAACCCCACGCTTCCTTCTTAAATGTAAAAGGTGTGTATGCATATACTCATGTATGCCTAAATAAATGTCAAGGATTTAAGTATTACAGGAAAGTGTTCTCTTTCCAATAATTACTTTTCCCTTTTTAAACAATATGCACATGTTTTCTCTGCTCTTTCAACTAGAAACGCTGTATCTGGCAGTGAGAACTTGTTGATCCAGACTAGTGCTCCTAGTTCTAGATTATGTGCTAGATTTCTGAGCTATAGGAGAGCTGCCCAGTGTTCTTAACCTTCTTTCGTGAAGCACAAGTAAGATTAGGAGTTCAGCTTCTTAAAATACAAATTTTCCCTGCACAGTGTAAGCAATTTAGAAAATCTGGCATATTTTTCAGTAAAACAATATCTAAATATTGCCATTACCAAGTTAGCTTTAGAAATGTGTTACAAACTGAAATTATTACTTCTATCAGGTTTCTGCTGGAATACAGAATACAAAGATCACATAAATAAAGAATAAAAAGATCACATTTCCAAAATGATTAAAGAAATACTGTGCAAGACAACATCCTATATAATCAGCTAAAAGATAGAACACTTCTAAGCTTCCTAATGATAGTGGGTTAAAAAATCCTCACAAGATACAAAAGGCTTTTCAAGACAAGTCATATAACCTATCACCATAAATTAGAACATCATCATTGTATAGGAACTAACAAAATTTTTTAGGTTTGTGGGAAAAAAAAGACAGTACTCAAAAGAGTCTTGAGGATACCCTCCTCAAACCCAATCCAGAATAGAATAAAAATAAATTTCAAATTCATTAATATTCATCTTCCTATAGCTTATCTGATTCTCTCCATTATGAATTGGTTGTACTCAGAATGTCTATGCAAATGAAAGTAACTTGTGTCAAAAATAGGGTAGAAAAAGATGTAAAACTAAACAGCAAACAACAGAAAGTGTAAAATAGCTCCAATCTATTTCCCAATTATTTGCCTGTTTGTTTGGATGGCCGGTAACCCATGCTTACAGTCAAAAAGCACACAACAGTTCTTTGTGAAAATGACACCATCCGTGTACTTCGACATACAGTACGTGTGCTGCTTTTTCAATAGATCATCCATAAAAGGACAAAAAAATTAAGAAAATTCACACTGTACCAAGATAAAGCCAGCGCTAGATCAATGACTACCATGGCCAGGGTCTACAATAGACCAGAAGGGGGCTCACTGGGGATTGTGAAGCTTCAGAGAAAAGGCAAATAAATAAATAAATAAACAAACCCTGAATGATCAAAAGATTAACTTAAAAATAAAAAACTCAAGCAAATGGCTACATACGTAATCTGATTTCACCAGCATACTTACGAAGGATGACGTGGGTGATAACGAATGCAAATATAAAGACTGTCAGAAAGGACAGAGATAAAATAAACATATAAAAAAATCTGTAGTTTCTTTTCCCCACACAGTTGCCTACCCAGGGACAGTGGTGATCAAACCGTTCTGAAATGAGAGGCAGAAGAAAAAAAAATGGAAAACAATTAATAAAATGCTGTTTATTTGAAAAAAGTTCTCTGAATACTATATTAAAGCTTATGATTTAACTGGCATTTACAAATTAGCCGTAGAGAAATTCTTATTTAGAAAGGAAAAAATAGAAAAGAAAAAAAAAGAGTATTTTAATGAAACCTTACAGCTTTTAAAGAAATCAAAGCATGGCTGAGGTGAGCTCCTGTTCAACTAACAGCATTATTGTGATAAATTGTGCAGTCAGACCAATAAGCATCTATTTATCCACTGTCACATGAAGCAGTACCAACTCAAGTGTATTTTAATTTTTCAAAATAAGGGTGGGTTTTTTTTTTTCCAGTGGACTCTTCTACTCAAAACTGGAGTTTATAGTGTTGTTTCATTTATATATGTCATGATCACACCTCTGACTTCTGTCTACTATCATGTCATCCATTCATTACAGTATATGAAATATTTACACCCTCCCATTTCCTTTTATTGCTTCACTCAAAACGTTCTCCATTTCCAGACCACCTATTTTTCCACTTAGACTGACACTGCCATTCAAAACCACTAACAATAGCAAAATCATTCACTTAAACCATTTTTCAAATGTGAAAATTCAGACAGTTTTATAACATCTGCTTATACTTCTTTCTGTTTTGGGATTGGTTAGTTTTTTTAATAATCTATTCAATCTTGCAGGAGTTTTCTGTAAGCCCTATGGTCTAAAAATCAGTAGATGTTGCCTGAATGCTCTGTTACCCTTTGCACTATAGGCTCCATCTTCTTTCTACTAAGCCAAACCCTTTCCTTTTATTTCCTTGAGAGATTAACTCAATCATGAGACAGGAAAGGCCAGGGTGGGTCAGAAAGGAGTGTCCCCAGCGTGGGGGAAATGCCCCAGCACTGGGAAGTGGCAGGGGCAAGAGACTGCTCTACCTTTCCCCCACACAGCCTAGACTCTCTGTCCCCATCCCAGCATGCTGGGTAATGGAAACAGAGTGACTGTCAGGAAACAAACTGGTATTTCCTAACTTTGCCTTGGAGAGATTACACTGACAGAATCTTAAAATTTTTAATCAAATCCAAGATCATAATATAAGACAGATGCTCTCATGCTGACTCTCTCTTACTCTTTGATCCTTGTCCAAATCCTGTTTTGTTTTCTGTGACTTTTATATTTCCATTGACGTATGATATCAAACTATTTGTAATTCCACAGGAAAGATGAGCTATAAATTTGAAGTCCTTAAGCCCTATGCTAAAAAGGCACATCTGGTGAAGCACATCAGTTTATTTTAGCTATGGCTTTGTGTTAAAGACCTACATCAGAGGTTTTTCTTGAAGGATGTATTTAGTATTATCTTCATTAAAAAATAAAAAGTCAAAACAACATGCACAACACATTTCTGAGTTCACCAAGACTTTCAGGGGTTTTTTAAACTGTTTCGCATGACAGCTGTTTGGACCACATGTTTCTGCCATAAATCTGATTCAAATTCCAGTGGGGCTATTCAAGGTGAAGTTAATGAACTTGCTTAGGATAAGGCTTCAGAAATACTTTGAATTAATGAGTATTACTAAGATTTAATGAGTATTACTAAGAATACCAAGAACTAAACACTCTGGTAAGGGTAGGCGATACTACCTTTATTCAGTGCAATACAGTTGTATTCCCAAAATAAGTTGACATTGCATTTGAACAGTGCTTAGTTTTACATTTGTGCTTCTGAATGAGTACTTATGTTCTGATAAACAATTTAATGGGTACCTAATACAATGCATGAGGTAATAATAACACAAAGAAAAGTACAGTTACAGAGCCTCTTAAAGAGCATAAACCTAGGCTAGTTTTGTACCCTACTGCTTTAGAAAAAAAATCATTGTGTGTCTTTGGAAGATGAATTCTGTAAATACACATTCATTCTCTTCTAT